AAGGAAGCGAAGTAGGAGAACAATGGCAATACTGTAGGCCTAAACAGAATTAGATTACGTTATAAAAAGAGATTTCTAACCAAAAAAAATGTAAACCCGTCCACGATTTAAATCATTTCATCATATTGCTAATTCCTTCTTTAAAAATCCAAAACCGACCCACCCTTCCAGCGTTGCCCCATCTCTACCTCGAAAGTCCCGCATACCGTCATCTGTCAGCCGACGATGCCCCAGTCATCTATATGACTAGCTGGTCGTGAGAGTGCCACCTACAGATGACACCCAGGTATAACATCGTCAGTCGACACTACTGGCATCACAGTATTTATTTTTCGTAGAATTGTGAAGAAAAAATCTCATTTATAATCATCCTTATAGAACATATTTGCGCATGCCCTATTTTCGAGTCTACGACGTGTCAGCTTGATAATGATCACGAAAGGAAATTATATCCAATGGTGCCACCACTGTCTGTAGTGGCGGCGCTAAGCCGGGGGGGGGGCTAGGGTGGGATACAGCCCACTACCACCCACCCCCAAGGGGAGGTCTTCACCGTCGGAGAAAAATCATAATTCGTCAGATAGAAAAAAAAAAGGTATATGTAATTTTTTTACATATTAATTGACTCCAAAATCCATTAAATACGTAAGTTTTTGAAACCCCTAAATTGTCTGGTCGTGAACAAATATCCTGTAACACAGACAGGAATTGAACCATTGATCCTGGGATTGGATTGGAGGGCAAGCATTTTAACCACGGTATTTCACCGGTCGTTCATACGGTATTTCACCGGTCGTTCATGGTATTTCACCGGTCGTTCTTAAGAACTGTGCTGAACAACATTGTTCACCACTATGTTTTATATTCAATTTATCCATGACCACCTTTGAGCTGCCCAAAGACTGGTTGAAGGCAAATGTAGTTCCTGTCTAAAAAGGGCGATAAAAACGACGTGACTAACTACCGACCAAGTTCATTACTCTGTGTGTCTAGTTAAGTGCTTGAGAGGCTGATTTACAATGCAATTTTTCCTCAAACATTATTTTTATGATTTACAGCACGGATTTATCCGTGGAAGGTCTACAGTGTCTCAGCTCCTAACTGTGTTTGACTAAGTTAGCGGGATTCTGGGCAGGGCTGGGCAAGTTGACTTTATTTACTTTGATTTCTCTAAAGCTTTTGACAGTGTTTCCTACCAATTACTCTTACATAAATTAAAGTCTTACGGTATCCACTCCAATCTTCATCGATGGTTACAGGCATCTCTGTAACAGACAACAACGAACCGTCGTTGAAGGGTCATATTCTGACTGGTTACCCGTTACTTCGGGGGTCCCTCAGGGGTCTATCCTCGGACCCCTTCTTTTTCTTCTGTACATTAATGACTTGCCAAGTGCTGCCCAGAATTCCACTGTAGCTCTGTTTGCAGACGATTCGAAATGCATCAAGGATATCAACGATGCTAACGACGGCAAGCATCTACAGGAGGACTTTGATGCCCTATACAAATGGAGCAAAACCTGAGATCTTTGCTTTCACCCATCCAAATGTCAAATTATCACTATTACACGGAAACGTAATCCCATTTTATATAATTATATAAACGGTGCACCCCTCTGTAGAACTAGTAGTATCAAAGATCTTGGTGTTGAGATCAATGGTGTTTTAAAATGAGACAATCATGTATCAAATATTGTTTCCAAATTTTAACCGCAAACTGGGAATGATCAAGCGTGCAGTGGGATATGCAGCTCCTATCAATGTCACTAAAAACACTTTACACCTCCTTAATTCGGCCTGATTTAGAATATGCTAGCCCTCTATGGAGTAGCACTTCCAAATGCAACTTGCAACGTTTGGAGGGCGTTCAACGAAAAGCAACGAAATTTATATTGCATTACCCAGATTGCGATTACAATGTAAGACTTTCGTTACTTAATCTTATGCCCTTATCATACAGAAGAGAAAATTTAGATCTTACTTTTTTTTACAAATGCCTAAATTTTAATATTGACCTCGATATCAGGAACTTCATTCGATTAAATGAAATGAAATGACTGATTAGGTCACAAGGTCAACTGACAATGATTTAATTATTGAAAAGTGCAACACTGAGTCTCACAAACTATATTATTTTATTCGCATTGTACCCATGTGGAACACCCTGCCTTACATTTAGAAACAGCCCAACTACGCACACTTTTAAGCAAAATGTTAAATTATTTTATCACGATCTCTTTTTAAATAAGTTTAATGTAAATAATGTTTACAGCTGGCTGTCATGTTGTCGCTGTGCCAAATGTCGCCCAATTTAAATTTTTGACAACTATGTGCAATTCCTCAAAGCTTCTCTTTGAGGTTGTTTTATTATTTGTTATATGCCAATGAGTTCCTTTTACACAAAATTATATTGATTTTATATCTTAGTCTGTGCAATTCGGGATCGGCCGATATCAGAGGTGTAATTTGTCCACCTGCTTGCCTTTTCCCGTCACCGGCAATCTTTTATTTCATTGGTATTTTATTGTATTTTTGCCTGTGCAAAGTCGAATAAATAAAATAAAATAAAATAAACAAACTACAACTCCATTCTAGTTTAAAGGTTTTTGAGACTATATTCTATTTTTAAATTGCTGTTAATATTTTAACAATTTAATCGGGCTAACTTAAATGACCAAATAAACGCCGTGGTGTTTGTAAAGTTTTAAAGCCTTCACTGCTGCGTTTATTTGAGAGCGGTGCTTATTAGGGAGTGTTAAGTTCGTACCATTTTTGTAGTTAGGCCTATCTGAATTGTTGCATCGGAAGTATATTTAATTTTGTAAGAAATCGGATGTTTAATGGTTCTTGATAATACGAAACACGAGAAAGCGCGTTTCGACGATCGTTTTCTAATAAATACAAACACCAAGGTACTTACTCGTTCAAAAGCCTGCTTTGCGAAAAAACAAAATGGCAAGATTTTGTATTGCACTTTGAACATTTCACAGTAAATTTACCATTTACAGTAATTTGCCACGTAAATAAAAGTACTTATGATCATTATTATTATGAATTTCTTAGTACAGTATAAAATCAGCGTTATTTTTCTGTTTTTCTTTTCCAGATTGTTACAATGGGTGTGACGGTTAGTTCAATTAGTTCTTAATCATTGGCTTTAAATGTGTAAAATATTGTATTGAGAAAATAATCGATCAAACATAATAAGACAGTATCATTGCTGGATTACCTGTGTAGAAATGGTTTGACGGAGCGAGAACGGTTTGGTTCTCAACATCGAGGTCGGGGTTTAAATCCCCTACTGCTGTGCATTTTGCTGGTGTCTTTGAGCAAGGCACTTTGTCTTCGTTGCTTCTCTCCACCCAGGAGTATAAATGGGTACCTGGTGTGGGGTTGCCTGACTGTGTCAATATAGCAGCAACACTTTAGCTTGTTGACCCAATGGCCAAGAAAAAACTTACAGCGCTTCGTGAAAGGCTACGCTGTAATGAAAGGCAATTACTATTAATGACTAGATTAGATTAGATAATTAAAATGAATTTTATAGTTACTTATAGTTAGTTATTCATTTATTAGAAACATGCAAAATACACGAAATATGCTATGCATGTTACAACATTAGCTCATCGTTTAAGTTCCATTAGATCTCTCTATATCTAGAAAACACATAGTGCTGTCAACATAAACGAGGTAGGCCTAATACATGCAACAAATGTTTTCTACATTTTATTTATAATCATGCAACAAATGTTTTCTACATTTTATTTATAAACACAATGTCTTAGGCTGGTTCAGTGCGGCCACAAACATTATGCCTGTTGGATATGAAAACAATAACAAACTGCAAACATGCTATGAAAGAAAAGAGGTTTTCAATATTAATCTCTCCCAGGGAACAGTTAATCTCTCCTGTGGTGTAACGATGGGGCCGAGACCATGTGACTTCATGAGACTAAGGGCCATTTTGGGTTCCGCGGTCGTCAATTCCATAGTGGGGTTTTAGATGTGCTCGTTTTTTTTTATTTATGTTTGTCATTGTATTCTTAAATGTTGAATGTTTTTTAACTACAAAATAAATCGATGGAGGATATCGAGAATCTTGAAATAGATGGGTGGTAGTGGGTGGGGAGGGGGAGTGAGGGACTTTTACATATAGAGGGTATATACCACCTCAGCCTCACTATGGTTCGGACTGACGTAAGAAAATATATCAACAAACCCTTTTGGGACAGGGTACTAGATTGAGGACACTATGGGTAGGGCCCGGACATTCGGGGCACCTAGGGGCTGGGGGCCCTGTGAACCGCCGTAACGAGAGTCACTGAATCTTTGAAATGTACTTAATCCTGCTGCTTTTAAAACGAGCTTAGAGCTAATGTGTTGTATAATAAGTGTCTTTGTTTATTTTATTTTATTTTATTTATTTATTTATTTTGCAATTTTTTCCTCTGCCATGTAGCTATACTAAGCATTTTACACGGTTTTAACCAACCACTTATATGTGGACCTTCCACCCATGTAATATATTAACTTTTGTTCGCGGTATTTTACCTAACATTTTAAATCAAACGAGTGATTGATATATTGAATATTCAAGTGATCAATAGATTGTTTGATTGATTGGTTGGTTGATGGGTTGGTCGACTGATTTATTCATTGAGTTGATTTTAAATAATCGAATGATTCAGTGGTTGATTGATTAATTTATTTATCGTAAATAATTGATTGACTCATAGCTGACAAATGTGTATGCTTCCTTTCATGGTCTGCTTTTGACAAGTTGTAGGTCAGTAACGTCTGGGAATTCCTTTTTCGGAAGTAAACCATATCACACCATATCCCAGCTTCGTAACATTTACTGCAAATAAAAAAACATATCATGTGCTATCACCCTATAAAATTTAAATCGTAACTGACATTTTATTTTAATTTTTTTTAATTACAAATTTTGTACAGTTATGTAATAAATTCAATATCATTCTTCTTTTTCTCTTTACCAGAATGTTACGAAAGGTGTGGTGAAGGTTAGTTGTAGTATTTTTTGCTTTAAATGGAGAGGTATATTGATTGCCACTTATTTGATAGTTAATAAAACCTAGACAGTGTTATAGGATCATTAAAATTTAGGAATTTTATATTTAGAAAGATGGCTGTCATGTTAAAAAGTGTACATTTTAAGGCAATCTGAAAAATCTCAGTATCTTGAAACTACTTTTTTATAGTGCTGTCATAATCCGGGAATGCAGATATTTTGAATTATTAATATATTTTCTGTTCTTTTTCAGGTTGTGAGAACAGGTGTAATGGTTAGTTGAGTTCCCTTATTTTTAGCTACAAAATGCCTAAATCTTTTTTGGAATAAAAGTGATTGCTACCTACTTGATAATTGATTAAACATTGGACAGTATCATTGCACACAACTGTATTAAAGCAATATGCAATTTGCAATTTGGGCCTATTTATAATTATTTCGCAAGTAGGCCTATACATTGTTAAAGTGTTGTAAATTTGTTCAAAAAATAAATGAACTGAAGCATAATTTTTAGCAAATATGTTGTTTTTATTTTCGTAAACTTTATTTATGAACACAGAACATCTAACTAGTCCTTTTCAATGCGGCCACAAAAATTAGGCTGTTGGATAAAAACAATAGGCCTAATCAACTGCAAAATGGTAGAAAACGAAATAGATTTCAAGGAAAGTATTTCCTCTAATGCAGGGCGATTATAAATTATTATAATGTGAATTTAAAAACATTTCCTAATACTTTTAAATAATTTCACTCTTGTTCATTATGTCCAATTACAATAAGAGTGTCGAGTGAAATTACATAGAGCTCTAATTGATTATATTTTTGGAAACACCGCCATCTACAGCTTTGTTCGGATTTCTGACTATTGCAATAAAGCAGTAACTTGGTATTATAGTAGGACTACAGTACATATTTGTTGTAGTTTAATTTATATTCTTTATTCCTTTGTTTTAGATTTATTCAGTATTTCCCGAGAGCGTCAAGGTTTGTTGAAATGTCAGTTTTGTTCGTTTAGATTTAAGCTTGAGTATTAAATTGATATGTAAACTTACACTTTTTGATCTTCGATCAATCGCAGACAGCATTATTACATGATATATCGTTATGAATACTGTACATAAGTTTAACTTTAGGTGTAACAAACTTGTAAAGATGTTTGTAGAATTTTTTTCTTGGTGGAGAAACTCCCTGCTGGCAAGTCGCTCATTTCATCAGCCCTAATAATCACGTGAGGGTACTGTTGACGGTGCTATTACTGAGACATGGCACCGTCAGAGGGCGCTCAGTAACATGTTGTAAATTGTTGGAAGTTGGTACCGCTGTCTCTGTTCATGGTGTTCCTGTTTCGATATGGGTCGCCTCCTAGATTCCTCTTCCCAACCATGGTTGATCCTAAACACTGGCGTAACATCCGTGAGCTGGTCTGTTATTTAGATTACGATATTTTGGTTATGCTTTACAATTCTTTTATTTATCCAATTTTAACATGATGGTATAAAAGTCTGGAGAAGTACATTTGAATCCGTTTTAAAGCTTATTTTAATGTTGCAAATATGATCGTCAGATGTATTATTATTATTATTTTTTTTTAAAGATTTTATGGCACATTTTTCCCATTTGTTTTATGAACTTATAATTTAGATATTTATAAGCTCATAACCAAACTCCTCATAATTTAAGTGATTACTTTTTAAGTGTTGATCAGCCTCATAGTGCCAGATTTAACAACCTGTTTAATTTAGCTATTCCACAACCTCGTGTTTCCTCAGAAAAGCTTCGTATTGGTTTTGATAGGGCAACATTTTGGAATGAAATTTCTGTTGAAATTCGCAGTATTAGTTATCGCAATTGCTTTATAAAAGAGTTAAATGCACTTTATTAGATAATTACAACACAAATTAGCATTTTACATTAATTTTAATTATATGATTTTATCTGTCTTATTAATATTAGTATTGTCATTATTATTATTATTATTAATATTATTATTATTATTATTATTTAACCTCTTATTGCCAATTGTGTATATGTTTTTGTTTTTGGCAATAAAATAAAGTTGCAAGAAATCTCTCGTGGGGTGGAGGGGGCAGCCCCGGGTCTGCACTCAAAAGGGGCACTAGAGGGCCCCAGTCTCTCATATACTTAACACTTTACTACCCAGGCTTAATAATTGAGAATTGCGTGATGCATGCGCTTTCTGGGGCCCAGTCCCATTCCAAATGGACCTGGACGGCCAACGGGCCCCTCTACCCAGCACACTGCTACAACTCGTCGACAATAGACCAAAATCCCACTCTTTAGCAGATTAATTATTAGAAGGGACATTCTGCTACGACGAACTTGGAGAGAAGAGCTTAGCTCAGTCGTCTAATCTGGTGGTAGCCACTGTGTGTGCGCTGAACCGTATAGATCTCTAGGTCCCGGGTTCAATTCTCATCGCTGTCTGTTTTAGATGGAGGGATGACCAACAAGTTACAATAGCGCACCGTCTTTCGGATGAGACGTTTAAGCCGTTGGTCCCGTGTGCATTTATGGCCTATGTGCACGTTAAGGAACGCAGTACACTCTTCGGGAAAAATAGGGGATTGTCTCCCGGTGTACTGCCCAATCACCACCAAATGGACCACACTGGAAATAAGTCTTCTTCTAGACTTTCGTGGTCCATCTTTGGTGTCTACACCGAATAAATCCCATCCAATCCAACTACTACCCAGCATTTTACATATGAAGTTTTGACCCCGGAAAGGCAACCCCTCCCCCTCATTACAGCACTCTGATACGACAGTTTTGACAATATGCATTTATTTTTAATTTTCAAAAATGATAGGGCCCCGGCCGGCTTCATCCCGACACACCATAGAATTTGCTGCCCCCCTAAAACATGGCAATGAATAAAGAAATAAATACATGATTACCCATTATGTAGACCTATTATAAAATGCATGGGCGCTGTGGATCTGCGGGACACTTGGTTTTCTCTTTGCTCCATGTGTGGGGCCTGTTTTTTTGCTATCTTATCGTTAATATTTAACATTTTTTTATGTTAATGTTCACTGTACTGTCTTTTGTTGTGCATCTGGTTTTGACTACGGTTTGTGAAAGTATTTTCGTGTAGTTAAGCACCATATAGTGACGATAAATAAGCCTAGGCCAAGGCCACCAAACGCTCTGATATGGTATGCCTGATATTCTCCTCGGGAGCTCATAGCGCTACGATTTGGATCAGCAAACAAAGACATTCCTCTTGACGTCATCGCTTTCAACGGAGAGCAGCATAATTTGACTAAACAGCAGGTTTGCAATAAGCGTAGATTTCACAAGAAGGGAGGTAAAAAATTAAGAATAAAAATACCGGTAATTGGTTGTCACAGGTCGATTTTAAGAAGTATTAAAACCAGAGGACAAGTAAGCAATAATCATGTGACTATTTAGTCCAGTAAGTGCACTAATAATAAGATTGCCTTCTCAAGTCCAAGAATTGTGTTAACCAACGCAAGATCAATGAAATAATGTGGACGAGTTTAAGGCTGTTCTGAATAAATACCAAGTAGCAGTTGCAACTGAGACATGGCTTAAAGCTGAAACTGAAAATATTGCGTTTATTCCAAAATATGAACATTTTGATAGGATTCGAATAGGAAAAAAAAGGTGGAGGTGTGTCTGTATATTCTGCTGACGGGTTAATAATGAACCATACTGACCATCATAAGGACAGTGGCGGCGCCAGCGGGGTGGCAGGGGGCTTAAGACCCCACCGGACAGGCCAGGTCCCCTGCCGGACAGAGCTCGTTGGGCAGTCAGACCATAAAACATATAAAAATAGGCCCACACCAAGCCAACACGTCTGTCACAGTCTGAGAGTGCCATTCTCGGCCATCCAGAGGTTGATATTCTTTAAAAAAAATCTCATTTGGGAGGGGGAACCCCTCTCAATCCCTTCCTCCAGCTCGAGCCTACGAGCTCAAGTCCCCCCTGTCGGACAA